ACTCCTCTAGCAGGCTCAGCTGACTTCTGACCCCTCCTTCCTTGTTCTCCTCCTGCTTTTATACCCTTGGTAGGACTCAAAAAGCATCCAATCAGCAACAAGCTTTAACATCCAATCAGCAACAAGCTTTAACATCCAATCAAGATTGCACAGCCAGCGCAAACGGAGGACGGGAGCAGGTGGCTGAGCACCAAGCGCGGCCCGGACAGACTCGAGGCCTGGCCCCAGCAGCGTGCACCTGCCCAGCCTCTGGCCGGCCCTGCAGCATCGGCCCTCGGGGGATGCAGAGCAGTGGGGAGGTGGCGAGCGGCTGCGTCCCGGTGCTCAACGGTTTTTCCCTGTGCTTCCCACCTTTTGACGCCCTTATCAGTTTACACAGAGGCATCAACTCTCTATGAGTCTACTAACTGCATTGGGCAAGCAGGGGCCCATGGTTACCATAGCCTTTTGACCTTGGTAGTTACAATTAACAGCATTTGAGCCTCGACCAAAAACAACACAAAGGCACCCCATGTAGACCCAGAAAAGGATTACCAAGAAACAAGTTAGTCCAGTCTTTTGGGTCGAAGGCCTCGAGTCCAATTCCCAAGAAGACTGTCAATAAGAGTCCAAGCCAGTGGTCCCATTCAGTCCAGCCACATTCAGGGGCAATCTGTAGCAGAAAAGCATCTGAGCTGGATCTTCAGCGGGTCCTGTGGACTTTGTTGCACCGTCCAATGACTGGACGCATCATCCATCTGGCTCATTTCACCTGGGAACGGTGGATCCATGGGGTGACACCTGCAACTTTGACAGCAGTGGGGGTAACCAATATCACAGTATAGGGTCCCTTCCAGGTTGGCCCTAGGGGTTCCTTCTTCCAATCCTTTACCCAGACCAGGTCCCCGGGTTGATGAGGGTGGACCGGGAGTCCCAGTCCAATTTGGTTTCTCTCTTGAACAGTCTGGTGTATAGTGGCCATGCTTTTAGCTAAGGCCTGGAGCTGTTGGTCTAGGTTCAATTCTCCCAACTGCCTAGTGTCCCCTCTCAGGCGTTTGATGTTGGGGGGTGGCCTGCCATATAGGATCTCAAAGGGTGAGTACCCAGTGGGGCCAGGGGTGCATCTTACCCGCAGTAAGGCGATGCGTAACATATCTACCCAGGGTAGTTGTGTCTCTTCACAGAGTTTGGCCAATGTAACCTTGAGGCTTCGGTTCATGCGCTCTACCTTCCCTGAGCTCTGCGGCCTATAGGCTGTGCATAACTTCCACTGAATACCTAATGCCTTGGAGAGGACCTGTGTAACTTCTGCAGTGAAGCTGGGTTCGTTATCGCTGCTGATGGAGAGAGGCAAGCTGTACCAGGGGATGACCTCTCTCAGCAAGAGCTTCACTACTTCTCTGGCCTTCTGAGTTCAAGTGGGGACAGCCTCAACCCAACCTGAGAAAGTACATATCATAACCAGCAAGTACTTGTATCCCCGGCTTGGTTTGATTTCTGTGAAATCCACTTCCACATCCTCGAAAAGGGATACCCCAGTGTGCTGAATTCCTGGGGCTGGCCTTGGTTTAGCCACTGCATTGTTCCTGGCACAGGTCTGGCACTGGGCACTAACGGTCATTGCCACTGAGGGCAATATATACAGCTATATAATAGTATCGGGTAAGCAGCTGGGTGAGAGCTGTTTTTCCCAGATGAGTCAGATTATGATGCCGAGACACAATGGGATAGGCCAGTTTTCCCGGGATGAAGATGGTTTGGTTGGGCAATTGCCACCATACATCTGTGTTTTTCTTGGCCTATTCCTACTCTGCCCATTGATCTTCCTCTAGCATGTACCTGGGTTTCTCTGGCCACTCGGGGGCCAGGAGAATCTGGCATTTGGTGGGATTCTCTAGTTGTCCCATACGGGCTGCCCTACTTGCTGCCTGGTCTGCCAGACAGTTACCGTTGGTGACTGAGTCTGTGCTCTTCTGGTGGCCCCTGCAACGAATGACTGCAATCTCCTTCGGTGCCCACGCTGCTTCCAATAGTTGAAGATTTTCTTTCTTATTCTTGATTTCTTTTCTACCTGTGGTCAATAGCCCTCTCTTCTTGTAGATTGCCCCATGCACGTGCACCGCAGCGAAGGCATATTTGGAGTCTGTATATACATTGGCCCTTTTGTCTTGGACATACCTGAGGGCTTGGATGAGTGCCCATAACTCTGCCCTCTGGGCTGACCATCCCTGAGACAGAGGGGCTGACACGATGACTCCGCTCCCTGTGGTGACAGCGTAGCCAGCCAACCATTTGTCATCCTGGATGTAGCTGCTGCCGTCCATGTAGAGCTCCAGGTCGGGCACCAGCAACGGACTATCTTTCAAGTCTGGCCAGCTTGCACAGACCTCCTCCACGGCCTCGGCACAGCCCTGGTCCCGGGGACCTGGCTCGGTAGGAAGGAAGGTGGCAGGGTTTAAAGTCCGCACAATCTCGATGGTGACTCGTGGGCTTTCACACAGCAGTCCCTGGTACTGCGCCAGCTGACTGCTAGATAGCCATCGGCGCCCAGATGTATTTATCAAAGCCACTATCACGTGCGGGACCTGCACACGGATGTTTTGCCCAAGTGTAAGCTTGTCCGCCTCCTTAATTAGCAAGACGGTTGCTGCCAGTGGTCGCAGGCAAGGCGGCCATCCTGACGCTACCGAGTCCAGCTGTTTGGACAGATAGGCTACTGGCCTCTGCCAGGGGCCCACAGTCTGCGTCAGTACCCCCAGAGCTACCTGCTTCTTCTCGAGCACGAACAGGTTGAAGTCCTTGGTGAGGTCTGGCAAGCCCAACCGGGGGCCTTCTTAAGCAACTCTTTCAGTTCTTGAAAAGCCTCCTCTTGGCTTTCAGTCCATTCTAGTTCCGCACTATCGGGTCCCCGTAATGCCTCATACAACGCGGCTTAGCTTTCAGGGAGAAACCTGGTATCCGTATGTGACAGAATCCTGCCGCCCCGAGGCACTCCCGCAGCTGGCTCCACTTCGTCGGCCTTGGGATGGTGCAGATGGCGGGCTTGCGCTCGTGCCCCAGTGTGCGGCGCCCGTGGGTGATGTGGAAGCCCAGATACTTGACCTGCTGTCTGCAAATCTGTGCCTTCTTCCAGGAAACCTTATGTCCTTTATCTGTGAGTAGCTGCAAGAGACAGCGGGTCCCTTGTTCACAGTCCTCCCTAGTTACTCCTGCTAGGAGAAAGTCATCAATGTATTGCAGCAGTGCACAGCGAGTCTCTTCTCGCGGGAAGGGGTCTGCAGTCAAGGCTTCCCCAAACAGGGTTGGTGAATTCTTGAACCCTTGTGGCAGCCATGTCCAGGTGAGCTGGGTCTTTCTTCCTGTCTGGGGGTCGTCCCATTCAAAAGCGAACAGCAGTTGGCTTGTTGGAGCCAGTCACAGGCGAAAGAATGCATCCTTTAGGTCTAGACAGGAGAACCAAGCGACATCTGGTGGGATGAGTCCCAGGAGGGTGTACGGTTCGGGACCATCGGGTGGCCTCGTTGACCAGTCGCAGATCCTAGACAGGGCGATACCCTCTGTTTGACTTCTTGACGGGCAGGAGCAGCGTGTTCCAAGGAGACTGGCACTCCACCAAGATCCCTTCCTGCTTAAGCCTCTCGATGTGTTCCCATATCCCTTCTCGTGCCTCCTTGGAGATGGGGTACTGCCGTCTCCTGACTGGCTGGGCACCAGGCTTCACCTCAATCGCTAGAGGGGCATGCTGGTGTGCAAGGGAGGGGGGGTTATCTTCCGCCCAGACCAGCGGGAAACCTTGCCAGAATTCAGTGGGAGTTTGCTCCTCCATGGCCTCCTCATATAACCTCCACTCCACCTCTCGTGGCAGGGTGACTGCCATTACCAGGGTGCCAAGCCTGAGACTCACAGCTCCTTCAGGATGGAAGGTGATCTGTACCCCAAGTTTGCTCAGCAAGTCCCATCCCAAGAGAGGCACCGGACAGTCTGGCAGGTAGAGGAACTCGTGCCTTATCTCATGGCCCCCGATTTGGCATACCCGGGACTGGCAGAGAGTCTGGCTACCCGAGTCCCAGTAGCTCCAACTATAATTGTTTCTCGATTTGCAAGTGGGGCCATGGGGGTTGTCACAACTGAGTGTTCTGCTCCAGTGTCCACCATGAATGTCATTTGTTGGCCCCCTATTTTCATCTTGACCATAGGTTCCTGAGGGCCAAGAGTGAAGAAACCCGGTCGGCCCTAACTGGAGTCAATGTCAGCGAGCCCTACTAGCTCTTGGGCTTCCGGTTTCTGTTCGGTAGTTCCAAACGGGTCCCTTGTGGCAGGTGACTTCTCTTGTGGGGGCATTCATTCTTCCAGTGGCTGAACCCCTTGCAATTGGTGCACTGGTCTCTTGCCAGGGGTGCCCGTCCTCTGGTTCCCCCCTTTCGTGGGGGACCAGGCTGCTTGGACGGGTTGGGTCTACCGAGGGCAGCGGCCAGGAGGGCAGCCTTTTTCTTCATCTTCTGATCTTTCTCCCTCTGAGTGGTCTGGTCTCCAGTTGATGTACACCTTGTGGGCCAACTCCATTAACTGTGTGATGCTCATGCCTGCGAATCCTTTGAGTTTCTGCAGCTTCCTCCAAATGTCGGAGGCCGACTGCCCAACGAACGCTGCATTCACCATTCTCTGGTTTTCAGCTGCCTCTGAGTCAAAAGGTGTATATATTCCGTATGCCTTGAAGAGGCGCTCGTAGAAGTCATTGGGTGACTCCTCTGGCTTCTGGGTAATTAGGACCACCTTGTTCATGTTGGTCGGCTTTTTGGCCCTTCCCACACTCCTTGCAGAAGAGCCTCTCGGTACCGCTCCAGTGCCGCTTGTCCTTCTGGCGCGCTGAAATCCCACTCTGGGTTGGTCTCGGGCGCCGCTCGTGATGCCCACTGTTCCACATCCAGGGTGCCCGCCGGCGCCCGCTCCTGCAGCCACTTCCGAGTTCCAGTCATGATCCGACGCCGTTGCCGGCAACCTTCCCACGTGGGGTGGTGAGTCTGGAACTTAGACTCCAGGAGGTCGATGAGGGCCTGCGGTTTCTCCGAGTAGGACGGCGCATGGTGTTTCCAGTTCAGTAGATCAGCGGTGGAGAAAGGCTGATGATACAGGGGAGGCTGCCCCGGCTGGATGGCTCTGTCATCCCGCGCCTGTGGCGGACCGTATATTTCACGCAGAGGCATCTGGAAGGCGGGGGTAAGGGGTTGGGCAGACCGCAACCAACGAGAGAGTGATGGAGACGCCGGTGGTGGAGAAACTGATGGAGTTGGGGTTTCAGGTGCAGTCGGGGGTGTCTGGGAGGGTGGCGTGACTTGTGGGTTGTAAGGCAGAGGTAGGTCCTCGATCAAGTCTCCCTGATGTATCTTTGTCTTGAGATCTCAGACCCTCTGAGCCACTAGAACCCTACTCTGTCCCTCATCAGCGCAGAACCAAACCCAACAAGGCATAGTTTGAGCAATCTCCAGCCATGTATCTATATATGGGAATTGATCCGGGTGACCCGGAATCCCAGTCACCACTCTGCACACTGAACGTATAGTGGGCAGGTCAAGGGTTCCCTCCGCAGGCCAGCCTACTCCGAAGGTCGGCCATTCCAGCTCACAGAGGGTTCTTAATCTGTCGGGTGTCATCGTGACCCCATACCCGCCCTTAATACCCACCCTTAAAGCCTGTTTTAAAATTTTTCAGCATGCACCCCAGAACTGTTGGCTTGGACTCGAACCCTCCTATGTTTTCCCATCCCCTTCTCCACCGACAAAAACCTTGTCCCTGCCCAGACTCTGGGCCCTGCTGCCACAGAACCCCAGGTTAGGACCCACTCAAACCCCTTAGCTGTGGGGCTACAGACACAATGACCACAAGCAGTCACTGTGTTCCTTCCACTCACATTCACTGACACATTCCCTCCCCTGGGGGATCCCTGTCCTTAGGAGGCGATCAGGCTCCTCTTCCGTCCCACTGATGGGCTCTAGGAGCTGGGCGGGCTCCTCTTCCGTCCCACTGACGGGCCTACACCCTAGGAGCTGATCAGGCTGCTCTTCTGTCCCTCTGACGGGCCTACCTTGGGCGGGTCCCGGGACCCTACCTTGTAAGCCGGGCACCCACCCGCTCAGCCCCCTGCCGTGGAGGCCAGCACCTGCCGGTGGCCTGTGTCAGTGCCCCTGCTTCCCCTCCCTCAGCAAGGCCTTGGCAAGTATTGCCCTTGGCCAACAGCTCTTGGCACTGAAGGAGACAGATGCCGCTCAGCGCCGGCTTGTCTCAGCCCGCCGTCTGCCGTCCCAGTGGCTTCACGGGGCCAGCTCGGTCGGCTTTCCCGGTCAGGAAACCAAAATGTTGCGGCAAAGGTTACAGCTAGTGTTACAGCTGGTGTTACAGCGCTTGACCGGGGAGAGAACCGAGCGGCACACGGAGAGCCGGAGAGCAGTCTTTACTCCTCCAGCAGGCTCGGCCGACTTCTGACTTCTGACCCCTCTTGCCACAACATTATTACCTTCTCTGTGCCCTAATACCTCCATCTGTTAAATGGGTACCAGTATAGCATCTATGGTGAAACCTGCGTGTATTAAGTAAAACTGGGGGACGTTGCTTGGTTGTGTGGCTAGGGTGCCAGCGATGTCAGCTGGCTGCGGTGCACGAGGAGGGGAGTGCTGAGGGCGAGCAGAGGCATGGAGCGCTGAGGAGGAGAGGGCTTTGAGGAGATGGGGTCAGGATGACAAAGGAAGCACACAGGGAGCACTCGAGGGCATTATGTCATTAATTCTCATGCATCTCTGTGCGAGGAGCTCAAGTCTACAGATGGGCTCAAGTCTACAGATGAGGAAACCAAGGCTCCTGGGAGGAAGTGACTGGCACAAGGTGGCTCAGCTAGACAGACGTGGAAGCTGGAATTCCAGTCCACATCTGAACGACCAACAGCCTGTGTGCCCTCACTGCCCGTCAGGAGCCTCCGGGGGGGGGGCGAGAAGGATGAAGGCTGCCCTGCGTGAGGGGAAGGGCCAGGCCGGTCCGGGCAGCAGGGGGCAGCAGGCGGGGGTGCAGATCGGCTGGCAGAGAAGACACGGATGTGGCGGCTATAGGTCACTCCGCTGAGCACTGTGCACGAGAATGAACTGAGCAATGAGGCAAAGGCTTGGGGGCCTGAGAGGGTCACCCCGGGGGGTTATTCGGAGCAGGGAGACGGGACTAGTGTTCAAGCAGGGAGGAAATGAAGGAAGGAGAAGAGGCCATGAGTATAAGTGACAGATAAAGGACCTGTGGGGTGTGGGAAGGGTTGAAGTCAGGGCCACACAGCTTAGTTTTGGACAAAAGGAAGAGATTGGCCACAATGGAGAAAGAATTTATTACTGTAACAAAAGAGGCAAAGGGTGACCACGTGCCCCTCTGTTCACTCCCTTGGAGGACAGGGTGAACCCTGCATGAGACAGGTGTCCGGTGAGCTGGGAGGGCACGCCCGACGGGAAGCCACAGCGTTTGTGCAAGGGCTCAGGTGTGGGAGCAGAGAAAGCACGTTGGGTCCCTGCTGAGGTCAGACCAGCCCGAGCTCCATCCATCCACAGCCCCTCCAGCCAGGCGCGCCACAGGTAGTAGGACTAGAGTGGAACTTCCACAGAACAGACACAGCTCCCTGTCTGTTGCAGAGGCTGGCGGGTGAATGATGCTATAGTTGGTGGTGTGGATAAAGCGAGGTCCGTGCTCAGGGCAGGAGGAAGTGGGGGCAGCAAAGCAGGTGAGAGTAGTGGGCAGGGCAAACGGCTTCTGCAAGGGACCTAAGGAGAGGGATGTGGTACCTTCCAGAAGCCGAGTGACGTTCACAGCCACGGGAATGTAGAACCTGTGTATGAGCAGGCGGCAACTTGCACTTTATTCGCATGAGGCTAACGGGGCCGTTGATCTTTTCAGCAGGGAGAGCCCTAATGGGATGGATTTGGAAAGCCGCCTGTTTCCACTGCGGGGTGTCAGTTGAACGTGCACTTGACTGAGGAAGGAGACCAGGAGGGGGCTGCAGGGCCCAGGCCAGGTGAGAGGCGACCATCGCACAGTGGGGTGGCAGACTCAAGAAGTAGTCCAGAGAAGGGCTTGGAGGTCTTGGCACCTATGAGGACGGTGGCGTATGCTTCAGCGAGAGTCACACTGGGGGAGGGACAGGGTTTTGGGGCGGGGGGAGGGTTGAGAGGCTCAGTTTTGAAGCTGGGTTTTGATGTGTGGGGGAACCAACTGGGCGGTCACGGTCAGCACGCAGCTGGCCTGTGGGATGACAGGTTGGAAGAGATGTGGGAAGGAGTTGACGATGACTTGGGAGGTGTCGGCACAAAACTGAAGTCCCGACTCTGAGACAGTGTGGCAGGCACCCACCAGGCACAGCGTGGGGGAGAGTCCTGCCTAATCCCCGGGAACAGCAGTTGGCTCAGCTGGGAGGAAGGAGAAGGGCGAGGTCTGCTTTGGTTTTTTAAGGTGGAGGAGACTTGGGCTTATTGAGACACTGATGGGAAGGCAGTGAGGGAGGGGTGAAAACCGAGAGGAGGGAGGCGACAGTTAGTGGGCACACGCCTCTGAGAGGTCCAGGGAGGTCCGCAAGGATCCACTTGGGCAGGGGAAGAGGGAAAGGGCAAGGGGAGGCGGTTTGAGGCAAGAGGAGACAGGTTTACGTGGCTGCTCCACAGTAAGAGGACGGAGGCAGGCTGGGGACCTGGGGAGACCCCCCGGTAGCACGGGGGTCTGGGCTTGGAGCCTGTCCCGCCACAGCGGCAGAAGAGGGTCATTTTTTACTGTTTCTATCCACAGGACTCCACAGCTTAGGTGCAGGGAGGAGACAACGGGAAGCTGAGGCTTGGCTCCGCGTGGCCAGGGAAGGGACCTGGCCCCATCCTGCATTTCGACGGAGTGCGCAGAGCCAGAGGGGTGCAGCAGACCTGTCAGACCCTGCCCATGGGAGTCCGAGGGGGCTCCTGGAAGAGACTTCATCCTGGGGGACCTCAAGAGCAGGCTCCGACCACTGGCCTTGCGACCAGAAGAGCAGAAGAGCACCTGGAAGTTCCTGCGGAGCAGCAGCCACGCTGGGCGAGTGATTTGTGAGAGTATCTGAGATGCTCGCGGGGGGGTTCCCAGGGGAGGGGGCAGCTCCAGGTGGCTTTGCAGGAGGAGAGGGGCCAGGGAAGGCAGAATGACTGCAGCTGCTCCGCCCCCAGCTTGCCTGGGGACGCTCTGGTCAGCACTCGTGCACACCCCCAAGCAGCGGCGCCGTCGCCAGGGCTCCTTACAGACATGAAGCACTTGCCCCCAAAGTACATCATCTGATGCTCTCAACTGCCCTGCAGAAAGGGTGCTTTGGTGCCCGTTTTATGAATGCAGAAAGAGAGGATTGGAGAAGTTAGGTAATTTTTCTAAGATCTCACAGCTCATGTGTGGTGGGATCCAACCTTCATTTATCCTCACATCTTTTCATATCGCACGCGACTCACACGTCCTCTTTCTCTGTCCTCACACCTCCCGGGAGCACCCAGGGTCCCCCGCGTGCTGCGAGCTCATGATGGGAAGGCCCCGTCTCTGACCATCGGAGAAGGAGACTGAGGTCTGGGCGTCAGCGCCAGCCACAGGATGAGCCAAGTACACAGATCCCCCAGGGTCTGGCAATGACGGCCCTGGTACTAACTCACGTGCTTAATATGCTCTTCCTGAGCGATGGCGTGTGGAATGGGGCTTCTGTTCAAACCTCCTCTTCCTCTGCATGGGCAGGGTTATGGGAACTGCAGTGCTATTCTCTGTCCCTTCTTTCTCTTTGCATCTGGGCAAAGATGCAGAACTTCTATGCATGAAGGCTATGAATTTGCAACCTGGCTACTACTCACCTGGCAGGGGTGAAATGACTTTGGGTGAAACTTGGGGAGATTTCACTGCAACGCCAACTTTTCCTTGGACACAGGGGTCAGCAGAGCTGCCGTCTGCTCCACCTTGGTCTCATGCAGCACCTTTGCACAATGAGCGCTTGGCACCAAAGAGATGTGCCGATTGAGTGAAAGAGTGATGTCACTTGAGCAAGATAACTCCTTTACACCTTAGTGCCCCTCCCATCCTGCCAAGGGCCACAGAGCAGGGAAGTCTAACTAGGCTCTAGTCTCTCTCTACCCCATGGCAGTGGGCCTGTGGTTCACAGGCCTCTTTGTGAACCAATAATTATTTAAGGAGCTTTAAAAAATATTAGAAAAAAGGTTTTATTTAAAAGCATTGGCTTTCTAATTGCCTTCTAGCTGCATAACAATTTAAATGGAACTATCTAACTGGAAACAAGCAGACGTTTCCTTCTTAGGCTCCAAGAAGGTGACCTTTGGTGGTGAATACTGTTTTTAAAACCACAAATCTCAGAGTTGATTCTGGCAGGTTGAGAGGCCATACAGACACCTGGGAATGCAGAAGGCATGGCTTTTAGGCCAGTGAGACCCAAATAAGAGTCCCTAAGGGTAAGACACACCAGCAATCAAAGTTGAAGAAGTGACAGATGTCCATAAAGTGCCTTCGGTGGATGAGTTGGTCCCAGTGGAGAAGGTGGGAGTTGTTATCCTTCTAACAGGGAAGGCAGGTTGGGGGTTTTGCTGGAAGGGGTCAGCCTGTCAGGGTCCCTGACTGCGCATAGACTTTGCAGCTCTGGGAAAGCCAAGTCCACAGGAAGATTCTAGTGCAGGAGCTGCTGGGCTTGAGGTGGGGGAGAAGGGAGGGAGAGGTTCAGAGCATGGGAAGAGTGTGCTCTGCACGTTCTGAGAGCTAGGACACAGGCCTGGGTCAAAGCTGACACTTGCAGAGTCACCATGGAAGGTAACTGGGAAGAAAGGGCCAGAGGGCAGAGGGAGAACCACATCTGAGACCAGGACTTCTCTCTCTGTTCCGTCTTGGGCCTTGGCAGTGTGGCCTTCTGTCCTGTCCCTGTGCCCGCCAGGACAATTTCCTCTTAGTTCCTGTCACAAGGGGTCTTTGCACTCCCCCCCCGCCCCCACCCTCCACACCCCATTCATGAAAGACTCTCTCACACGCCTCCCAAGTCCCCAAGTGGGGGTGCCATCACGCTGCTTTCTGGGGGCCTGCTGCTTCCCCAAAGCCCCGGAGTCCTGGGAGTTGCAGGAACCTGGGAAACAAAGTAGAGGGGCAGTGCAGGGACTGAGACCAGCACCCCATCCCGCAGACTCTGGGCCTGGGCCTGCAAAGTCAGGCCACGTGACCTGGAGTTTGCATAATGGTAGTAACAAGTGTGAGGTCCTAAGCTGGCACTACTGCCTCTTCTTGCTGCTCCAACAAGACGGTGATATAGAGAAGGGACGTGAGATGGAGTTCCAAGGTGAATGGGGGCAGGAGGGAGGGAGTGGCGGACCTAGGCCATATTTTTTCTCCCCACTCTCTGAAATGAGTTTCACACCTTTTTCTCTCTCCTCATACCTCCTACAGCCTAGCTTCTCCTTACCCCCTGGTGCTACATTGCTTCCTGCTTAACTAAGAAAACACATAAACTGCCCTTGGTTTTCTAAATATCCAACTACCCCACTTATGCACTGGAACCCACCCTGCTTCCTACTCAAGGACATCCCTCCTGCAATTGACCTCTGTCCACCTGTATCATTTGTTTTTCCCTCTCTATGGGATCATTCTCGAGCAAACAAAATCATGCCGGGATAGGGATCATTTAAAGATCAACTCAGTTGAGACATCATTTGGGTATGAGATGCACTCATTTTAAGTGTAAAGTTAGACAAGTTTTGACAAACGTATACCACCATATATTCACCACCACCACTAGCACGTTATAGAACAGTCCCACCACCCCCAAAAGGTTTACCATGCTGAGTAGTATTCCCTTGTGTGGATACAGCACAGTTTGTTCATTTGCCTATCGATGTACAATTGGGTTGTTTCTACTTCTTGGCTATTATGAATAAAACGTGCAGTGAACATTTGTGTACAAGTCTTTGTGTGGACATATGTTATCATTTCTCTTGAGTTAGTATCTCTACAAGTGGAATAGCTGGGCCATATGATAATGTATAAAGTTTAACTTGAGTAGAAACTTCCAAACTGTTTTCCAAAGCGGAGGTACCATTTTACATTTCAACAGCAGTTTATGAGAGTTCCATGCTGCACTTGCTATTGTCAGATTTACCCCTAACTTCGGCCATGCTATTTTGTGTTCGTGTGTGTAGGTCTGTTCATTTTTGTTTTAAGTTGCATGTCTCTGATGACTAATGATGTTGAACATCTTTTCATGTATTTATTGGCTATTCATATATCTTCTTTTGTGATGCATGTCCATATCTTTTGTCTATTGTATTCGTTTTCTAAATATCGCCACAAATAATGTCAGTTTAAACGAAAAAATAAAGTACATTTATTGTCTCACCATTTCCAGGAATGGGTCCCGGCTTAGCTGGGTCTTCTGCTCAGAGTTTCACAAGGCTGTAATCAAGGTGGCAGCCTGGGCTGCAGTCTCATCCAAGCACACATAATTGTTGGCAGAATTCATTTCTCTGCAGCCGTAGAACTCACGGTGGTTTGGTTCCAGGCCAACAGGAGAGCTTGTCTGCTGTTTATAGAGCCGCATTTTAAAGGGCTTACCTGATCAGGTCAGGCCAACTTAAGATACTCTCCCTTTTGATTAGCTCAAAGCCAACTGATTAGGAACCTTAATTACATCTGCCCAAATCCCTTCAGATAATATAATGCAATCTAATCACAGGAATGACATCCATAATATTTTGGTTCTGCCCATACTCAAAGGGAGATAATTATGTAAGGGCCTGGGTCATTGGCAATCACCTTAGAATTCTACTTACCACACCCATTGTTGTATTTTGTGGTTTGTCTCCTTATTGAGTTGTATGAGTATTTTATAAATTCTGAAAATAAGTCCTATGCGAATAAAATGTATTGCAAATATTTTTTCACAGGTTGTACCTTGCCTTTTCATTTTTCTTAATGGTGTTTTTAATAGAAGAGAAATTTTTAATTTTCATGAAGCCTAATTTATCAACTTTTTTATTGGAGTTTATACTTCTTGTTCCTACACACAAATATTTGCCTGCCCAAAAGCTGCAATATTTTCTCCTCTGTTTTCCTCTAGAAGTTTGATGGCCTTAGCCCTTATATTTAGTTCTATGACCCATTTAAAATCAACTTTTGTGTATGATGTGAGATAAAGATTTAAATTCAAATTTTTTCCCACAAATGGATATCCAATTTTATTAGCACCATCTGTTAAAAACAGTATTCCTCCCCTCCCCTGCATTGAATTACTCTGGCACCTTAATTGAAAAATCAATTGATCATATACAAATGGGTCTATTTCTAGGCTCTTGTATTGTTTCCATTGATTTATATTTCTCTATTTTTGTCTACAGCAATATACTTGATTATTGTATATTTATGTTAAGTCTTAAAATTAGGCAGATTATATTTTTCAGCTTTGTTCTTTTCCAAGATTGTTTTGCCTGTTCTATGACCCAAAATTCAAATTTCTATATTCCTCAGCTTGCCAAATTCTAAAAAAAAATAAGTCTGCTGAGATTTTGGTTGGGATTGCATTGAATGCATAACTCAATAATGTATAATAATGTATACATAATATGTTATATAAACACACACATATACACAAGCAGTTCTCAATTTGCATTATTCAGTATGCACAAATTTCAGTTACCACAGATGAAGTAAATAACACTAGGATTAGGTAAACAACCCAATAACATGATTCAAATTTCAGTTATCAAGGTACATCAGGCTGGGTGCAGTGGCTCATGTCTGTAATCCTAGCACTCTGGGAGGCCGAGGCAGGAGTGATTGCTTGAGGTCAGGAGTTCAAAACCAGCCTGAGCAAGAGCGAGACCCCGTCTCTACTATAAATAGAAAGAAATTAATTGGCCAACTAATATATATAGAAAAAATCAGGCGGACATAGTGGCGCATGCCTGTAGTCCCAGCTACTCGGGAGGCTGAGGCAGGAGGATCGCTTGAGCCCAGGAGTTGGAGGTTGCTGTGAGCTAGGCGGACGCCACGGCACTCAATCTAGCCTGGGCAACAAAGCGAGACTCTGTCTCAAAAAAAAAAATGTACATCAACTCTAAGTAGTTGCATAAAGTACAAACTTCAAAGCAGGTGTCTCAGTTCACAAATCACTATATAAACGACAGATGTGCATCATAATCAGTGAGCAATGACTCAATCCTTTCCAAGTGTCTCAGTGATTGCTCACTATGCACTCATTATTGGTTCACACACAGATAGTAAAACATATAGTTGTGCTGCCTCGTTGTCTCCCAATGATAAACTCATGTGACATTTTATAAATAGATAATCAAAAGAGGGAATTGGTCAACAAAGATGAAAGTGAGGCAGAGAAGAAAAAGTGAGGATGCTGGAAGTAGACTATGAGTCAAACACAAATGAAATTATAGATTAAATACCTGACCATAGGGATGTTGATACTACTGCCATTCGAGACTCTAGTTTTGCAGCCAGAGGAACTTAGTGAAGGCAAACTTGGCATAAGGGTGTAAGTGGTTGTGACATAAAAGATGAAGAAGTCTCAGATAAAGTGCCTGCACTTAACTTTCCCTACTTTCTCATTTCCTGTGCACTATGGTTCAGATTGGTTTTGCATGTTCTTGAACATATAGATGGACTCACACTGTGTGTCATGTTTTGTGATCAGATTTTATTGCTCTGCATCATCACTGGGATTAATCCATACTGTCGTGTGTGTTATAGTCATAAAACAATGCAACGCTGCAGCAGTATTATAGGTTGTGTAGCAGGAAAAAAAGAGATTAGAACAGTAGTTACCTGGGTGGGTGTAATGGAATGGGAAGGGGTGCCTTGGGGTGCTACAAATGCTCTAAATCTTGATCTGGGTGGTGGTTACCCAAACATAACCACAGTGAAGATTTGTGAAGAATCACATTCACATGTTATACTTTAATGACAAGTTAAAAAAAATAAATACGTGAAAATATTCAGTTTATAAACAAGTATAAATAATTGTTTATAAATTATTCCTGGAGTTTATAAACGAATATTTGCAGACACCTAGAGATATTTTCAATAAATAAATACTGAATTCTGAATTCTGCCCTGTGTTGTGATTCCCTTAAGGATAATGTTTTGCAAAGCAGTGAAGTGACACTGTTTGCAGGGGGTTATGTGATTAGCTCTTTAATGTTTCCTGAAGGTAAGCTCCTGTGAGTTGGACTGTATTTGTCGTTGAGAAATGCAGACATGCATGAACACAGGGAACAGTGGTTTGCCAGGCACAGAAGAACGGTGGTTATGTCTCAAGCTGCATGCTCAGGGAGCCTGATCGAAATCCTTCTCAAATAGTTTCATCAAGAGAATCTGGTCTTTCATCGCGGCTGTCACCCTAGTCCTAAGGGGAAAACGAGAGGACTTTCTTTTCTTCTATCTCATGAATTCCTTGGTTTTATGTCAAATTATTTTTACTGTTGCAACCTCTACCTGCTAAAACCTTAGCTTAGAGTCCAGGCAGTGAAAAGTAAGGGATAAGATCCGGGCTGGAATTCCGGCCTGGCCCCTTTACGGCCACTAAGTATGGGACCCAGCACAGGACGAGTACCTAAGAAGGGATAACTCTCCTGTTCTGGCCTTGATGACCTCAAGGTCTGTACCCATTTGCTGTGGCCCTTCTGTCTCTGCTCTTCAGGCCTCTCCTCCTCCCCACTCACACCGGCTCCTGTGATCCCATTAATGCCCATTATTGATCCTGATCCTCTGGTTTGAAATGTGGCCCCCTCCATCCATGGGCCACTGAAATCCGCCCAACCTTCTCCTCCTGCTGCATCCCCAGGAAGCCCTCCTTGACTGCAGACTGAGGCTATCCTCACTTTCTCTCTCTCTCTCTCCCTCCTCTGATCTCCTGGAGCACATGGCATTGGACCTCAGCACATGCATTGCTGGGGTTGTTCTCCAGCTGATCTCTGTGGGCCAGTACTGAGTCCTCCTATCAATGAGGAGCTTCTTGAGCAAGAACTGCACAAGCCTGAGCTCAGAGGGGAGGGGAAGGGTGGTGCCTTGGTACCCAGGCCCAGCTGAAACATGGAAGACCATCTGCTATGGTAGAAGGAGAACTGGCTGAATGTCACGGTCCTGGGTTCTGGTTCTGTCTTCCAATGACCCCTAAGCCTGCTGTTTCTATCTCTGGGCCTCAGTTCCTGAAACCGTGAATTGGGAGAAGATGGGCAGAGCTAGGTAATTCCTAAAAGCCTTTGTAGCTTTCAGAGATTTAGTATTCTCCATGAGTGGGTCTCACCTCTCTGTGCGTATCAGAATCACCTGAAGAACTTCTAAATACTGGTGATGGCTGTGCCCTACTCCTGGGTATAGAAGATGCAATAGGCTTGGGGTGAAGCCCACCCACCTGCAATTTATAAAAGCTCCTCAGAGGATTCTAAGGTGCAGTTGGGAATGAGAACCTGAGATTGGCATGTTTGGCAGGAGAGGCCCGCTGGCTAGAACCTGTTTATTTTCAAAGTCATGGCCTCGTGCTGCCCCCTGGTGGTCAGAGTGCTCACTTCAGGCAGAGTTCTGCATCAAAGGTTGCAAGCCCGGGCAGGAAAAATACACGTAATGAAGACAGATAAAAGAGAAGAGAGGAAGGAGAGAAAGGAGAAGGAGAAGGAGAAAGGAGAAGGAGAAGGAGAAGGAAATGACCTGGTTTTTCCAAGACCAGAGGGTTCACAGACTCATAGCTATTCCCTTCTGACCTACCCCTATAATAAATGAAGCTTATACTAATATTCACTTACAATAAATAAATGAGACTGACTCCAGGAGGCAGTCATGTCTGCATTAAGCATGCAAAAGCTCCCTCTGCATCCAAAGTCTGGGTGTAAGGGGAATTCAGAAGGTGAAAGGCTTGGCACAGCTTCTGAGACAGCAAAGCCAGGCAGGGCGCTTGAGATAATGAAATGTAAAGCACCTGGAAAAATAAGTACTCAGTGTTAGCTTTTGGGTTTTTTTGTTTGTTTTTTTTTTTTTTTTGAGACAAGACCTTGCTCTGTCACCCAGGCTGAAGGGCAGTGGCATGATCATAGCTTGCTGCAGCCTCAAACTCCTGGGCTAATGCAATCCACCTGCCTCAGCCTCCCAAGTAGCTGGGACTACAAACACACAACACCATGCCTGGTTAATTTTTATTTTTTTAGCGATGAGGTCTTGCTATGTTGTCTGGGCTGGTCTTGAACTCCTAGTCTCAAGTGATCCTCCTACTATGGTGTCCCAAAGTGCTGGGATTACAGGCATGAGCCACCATGCCTGGCCAGCTTTATCATTTACTGGTCACCATAAAATGAGGACAAGATCATTTCTCTGAGCCTTTATGATCACCGCTCACATTTTCAGCACTATTCTAAACACCAAACATGTTCATGGACAGAGTCTGTCAAGGGCCATGGAGTTTTAACAGACTCCAGACTCCAAACTCCTGCCCATTCGATATGGAGTAGAGCTTCCTAAACTTGGTTGTACCTCTGCAAAAACTGGGGAGCTCATTTTTTAAAAACATAACATAAAAGAATGTGTTTTAAAGTATTGCTTTATCATCACAATGCAATCTACATAATACATTAATTATAAAGAAAAAAAAAGGAAAATTTAAAAGGCAGGTTTGTTTTATAGGCTATGGGGAGCAGAAGCAGAGAGGTGGGCTGAACAGCCCCTCAGAGTGTGGCGGCCCACATACACCGGTGCAGCAGGTCTGTTTCTGTGGATGAGACCAGGTTGGGCATACATATGAAAGCCCCAAGGATCTTTGGCATCAGCATTAATTATGCCAAGACTCATTGTACCAGGCCCCAAATCAGGGAGGCTATGAATCAAACACCCAGATGACTCACATGTGGGCCAAGCTCCTTCCCCCGAGGTGCCTTCTAACACCGCTTCACCTAGTTAATTCCAACACATCCCTCATATCTCACCTGTAACATCATTTTCCTGGGGAGGACTTCCTTCACATTCTGCTCACGTCAAATGCCCCAGTTTAAATGTTCTCGAAGCATGCTCTGTCTCTCCTCCAGAGATCACAATTTTAATTCATGTTAAGAATCGCCTTGTGTCAATGTCCCCAGATGAATGTGAGACAGTGATGGAGGGACTGCTTCTGTATCTCCAGAACCCGGCATGGCGCCTGGCCCCATGGCAAGGGACTCAGTAAATTGTTGAATGAGTGAATCCCATCCCCAAGAGAAACGGATCAGCCTTTTCTGATTGCTCCATATTTATTTGCCATCCTGAATTTTCCTATCATTAATTCAAGCAAAAGTAATTCATTTCAACGTGGTCGGCATAGCTACTTTTTATTAATATCGAGAAAAATCATTTACTTAAGATAAATTGGGAACTGATTATGCATACATTAGAAATAGCAACAAAATTAATGTCCTAGCACATTATTGATCTCCACCTCTTTCCAATAACGCTTTAACATCCTTCTCCTTGCTGCCCATGTGCCCATTGGCTCTTCAGCTTTGTTTTTAAGAGAATATATGCATGCACCCCATCACTTGAATTGTGGTATACTCACTGTGCAGGCCACAGTAGTATTTAGCTTCCTAAAATTCCTTCTGGATATAGACAATCCTTGTGACAAGCTCACAGGCAAGAATTGTGCTCATTTGCCTTCCACAAGCTGAGTTAATTCTAACAAGACCTTTGCCACTCAAAGTAGGGTCCCAGCACCAGGAACACATTGGAATCACCTTGGAGATTGTCAGAATCACAGTCCCTACTCAGGACCAAAGAGTGAGAATATGTGCTTTAAGAAGATACCTGGGAGATATATAAAAGAAAAAGTGTATATAAAAGATTGAGAACTGTTCTTCTAGACTGCTGGGTTACAAGCTGTTCAAAGTTCATGGTTCCTATGAACAATATGCAGTACTCATTGGCTGGGTCTAGGAAAGCCTTTCTCTTACGATTCTTCATAGAATCTTAAATAAATGTGAAAAGGCTAAAAAATAAAAAAGGTTTTGTCAATAATTTTCCAAGTCATTATGATTGACAAACTTGCATACTACTTACAAGATTAGCATTAGCCTTCCTCTGGCGAAGCCCCCCCCCCCATATGCTCACTTCTCTTTATCTGCTTCTTGTTTACATTGGGTCAGCCCAGGCATGTTAGGTAGGTCAGTATCACAGAGCTATGGTCATGTTTGGAGGCTCATTCCTAGAAAAATCAATTAACTTTCAATTAACCATTAACTTTCAAAGCAAAAAACACCTTTAAACCTTGACCTGTCTGGCTAGAGCATTTCATGAAGCTGTGGACAACAGGACAAAGGGTAAGGATGGGTAAGCACGGACATAATGAGACAGTTAGTGAAGACAAAAGATAACTCAGCTCTTTCATGGGCAATCCTCATATGATGACAGCTGGTGGCCAGAATCAGCTCACCTTTGAAGCTTTGATTCCTTACTAAGCAAGCAACCATGTGATTGTGTGTGCGTGTGGTTGTTTTTGATGGTTTCCCCTCCTAGAAAAATAAATAACTAAATGGGGTTTCCTTTTTGTTGGTTTTTTTGTTTGGAGTTTTTTGTTTTGTTTTAGAGACAGGATTTCACTCTGTCACCCAGGCTGGAGTGCAGTGGCATCATCATAGTTCACTGCAACCTCAAACTCCTGGGCTCAAGTGATCCTTCAGTCTCAGCCTCCTGAGTAGGTGAGACTACAGGTGCATGACACCATGCCCAGCTAATTTTCTTTTTTGGTTAGAGATGGAATCTCACTATGTTGCCCAGGCTGGTCTCAAACTCCTGGCCTCAAGCGATCCTTCCACCTGCTTTGGCCTACCAATGTGCTGGGATTATAGGCCTGAGCCATCATGCTCAGCCTAAATGCAGTTTTTTTTATCATTACCATTTTAATATGAGTTTAGGTATTAAAAGCTAGCCTTCTGAAGATTTGACTACCATCAAATAAGATGAAAAAGATTTTGTAGACCAAATCCTAGAATACAGAGTTATAGGCAAAATGTAGAGCCCTTTGTATTCAGTCAGCAAAATTGCCCTCCCCACACTGGATGTTACAAACTCTAAACCAAATAATGAAAGGTTATGGTTGGCAGAGCTCTTAAAAATCTAGTTTAACATTGTATTTGTTCAGATGATACTAAGAAATTAAGTGACAGGCCCAAGATCACAATTTTTGTTCCTATCAAGGCAAAAAGAAGCAAATGGGTGTTCTGATTTGGAATCAGGTGCTATGTATGACACCACTCGGCAAGGGAAACAAAGTCCCACTCCTTATGGAACAGCAACAACAAAACAAAACCCACCTAAGGCAGGGACCGTGTCTGTTTATCGCTTTGTCCAGGATAGCATAAAATCGTGTATTTACTAGCACTCAACAAATATTTTTGAATGACTTGCAACAGACTAAAATTTAACTAATATCTACCGAGGGACCTATAATTAGTTAGGCAGTATATGAGGGCACAGTTACATTATTACTTTCATTCTATACTACTCAATTATCACTGCCATGATTGTTATTACCAGAGTCGTATACAGTTAACACATAAGGTGAAGCTAGAGGTCGTCATTGTCTCTCATTTGGGAGAGAAGAAAGAGTGGTAAGAAATACCACTGGGTGGGTATTATTTCTCTGAACCTGTAGAATTCTGGCCCCATCTTTTACTGCCATTTAAAACCAACCCTGGCCGGGCGCGGTGGCTCACGCCTGTAATCCTAGCTCTCTGGGAGGCCGAGGCGGGCGGATTGCTCGAGGTCAGGAGTTCGAAACCAGCCTGAGCAAGAGCGAGACCCCGTCTCTACTATAGATAGAAAGAAATTAATTGGCCAACTAATATATACAAAAAATTAGCCGGGCATGGTGGCGAATGCCTGTAGTCCCAGCTACTTGGGAGGCTGAGGCAGGAGGATTGCTTGAGCCAGGAGTTTGAGGTTGCTGTGAGCTAGGCTGACGCCACGGCACTCACTCTAGCCTGGGCAACAAAGCGAGACTCTGTCTCAAAAAAAAAAAAAAATAAAAAAAAAAAAAAAAAAAAAAAAACCAACCCTGGCTCGTGGTAAATGCTGGATAAATGCTGTTGTCACCACGTCACCATCATGGTTTTGTGCCCAGCCTCCTGCCACGTCTTGGATGATTTTCCCTTGATCCACATAGACCCACATGGAGCTACCAAATCAACTGTTTGTCCCCAGTGGACTGACCTCTCTGAACTTTGGCACTGATGTCTTACCTTGATCATAAAGTACCTGCCCAGCCTCCTCCTGTCTAGTCAAATGACCAAGAACAATTTTCAGATTTGGGTTCTAAGGTGATTGTAAAATGTTAAAAAATAATAATAATAATAGTTTGTGACACCCAATATAGATCAATCAGCATGTATGATGGGGTCGAGGGCAAGAGACAGACGTGTAGAGGGAGAGAATGAATTTATCTGAGTGCAGGACATCAAAGAAGGCTGAACTGGGACTCGCCCCAGTAGGGACTGAAGAACCAGCTAAGCCAACTTTCCTGAGGAACATTCCTCAGCTACTTCCTCTGTAGCCACATAACACTTATGTTAGTGGCGTTTAGACCAAGTTGGAAGATTCCTATGCAAATCAAAAGGGTTTGTTTTTCCCTTTTATTTTGTCTGTAAGAAAAAAAACTTATCTTAATGATTCAATCTCGGTAAGTCTTGGGGGTACAGGTCATTCTTGGCCATGCTCTTGGCTGTTTTAGAAGTCACCAACAGGAGTCCCAATGAATATATCCAATCAGGATGTCTACGGACCAAGCCGCAGGTGACCTCTTATGGGTGATAACTGTCATTAGAAAGAACGGACTAATCATAGTAATAACAGTAGCCATGTAAGCTCTGGTTTCCAGCAAATCCAGGAAATTGGGAACCTCCTGAAGAGGAGGATGGGGCTGGGGACCAGATTCCAGATCTAATTCTGGTTCCACTAATCGGGTCTCTGTAATTCTCCTAGAGCCACCCCAAGTTTCTCATTGGGCCATAAACCGCCAGGGTTTCTGTTTTCAGGAGTAGCGAGCTCCATGCAGGTTCTCCTGTCAGCCCCTAGGTGGGACCTCCAACGCCCCCAGCTGTCGGCTACCTCTGTTTCTCCTTCCGCAGCGAGTCCACCTCTCGCTGCCCACTTGCTTTTGAGCTTCAGGGCCCTGCTACCCAACTCCTCCCTCCTAAATCTCGGGGCAGACTCCCAGGCAGCTTGATTCCTGAACTTCCGGCCGCTTCACCCACTCCTGGGCTTGCAGACAGCAGGGGGAAGAAATGATTCCCACCTGCAGGGTGGCCCGGCCTAAAATGACCACTTCCAAAACTGAGAGACAACGTGGATGTGTGCTTTTGTGATGGCCTCTCTCAGTTTGATAAACACACTTATTTTCTGCCCAACCAGACTGGAAGCATCTTGTGAGCAAGGTCTTATCCACTACTTTCTTTGCTTCCCTCATAACACTTATGCTTTTAAACACTTGCTGTGTGAATGCTATTTAGTTAGAGTCATGGGGGTTGTAAAAAATGAAGCAACCATAGCTGTGAAGTTGAGGTACTAAGTATGGTAGAGAAACCATTTCAGAGGTCCTAAATAAGACTCGCTAAAATAGACTACAATTTGGAGTCACAGTGTTTTAGAACTGAAGGGAATTGTCATGATTATCTCTTTCCTTCATCTCACATGGGTGGAAAATGGAGCCCAGAGAGAAAGTGACTTTCCCAACATCATGGGTCATCAATATCCAGGTAGGACTGGATTCTAGGTCTCCCAGTTTCCTAGCAGGCAGAAGCCCCTGCTGGTCCTAGTCAAAACAACGGCCAGCCTGGTGTTGAAGTTCAACCTTTTCAGCAAGCTTGACCATGAAGTCTCAGATTAGCCAGTGCACTCTAGAGAAGTCATGAAGTGACAGATGCCGGCCTCAAAGACCTCAGCAAACCCAGCACTGGCAAAAAATAGAAGCACTCCTGATCCACTATAGGCTTGTATTTCCAAAAACTTTAATACCTCTTCTGCCAAAAATTATACAATTACCAGTTATCATGACAAAAAGCCAATACAAATGTATAAAAAGAAATAAACAAATCACTTTTCTTCATTCCTTTTTATTTTCCTCAATTACCTTTTCTATGATTTTTCCCTCTCCATCCCCAGGGGAATCATGGTGAACAGCTATCTTTTTCTATCTTCCACACTTTTTCCAGGCTTTTACAATCACATCATATCTCACATATACACAGTGAGAAGATAACATTGTTTCTTTCCCCTCA